AGATAAGATATTCCTTTATTTGTCCCACAATGGGGAAATTCCGATGTTGCAGCAGCAAAGTGGATAGAGAAAAAACAGTATACAAACAGTAAGAGTAGGAAAAAATAATAAATAAAAATTAAATAAAAAATATAAATATAAGTAAAAAAACACAATTTATTCTTATTTTAAGGTGATTAAACACTAATAAAAACATACTTATTAATATTATATTATATTTCTGACTATAAATCCTCCTCAATGTTTCACACTGGAGCTTTAAAATAAAATGTATTGAATAAAGTGATTTTTTTTTGGGACAATGTTTAACCTTAATAATGAAAATGTGCTGAATTCTTTAAATGTTTTCTTACTTTTAAATCCAATCTTAATTCATCCGACAGGGAAATATGTTGTTATGGTTACATTTTATACTGAAGTTCAAAGTATTTTATAAAAAAATGTCAAATAAAACAATGTATTGATTCCTAATGCTGCCTTTAAATATTCGTATCAGTGCTTTAATAATGTTTTTTGGGGGCAAATATTGATTTATATATATATATATATATAATATGTCTGTAGCTCCGCCCCTACCTAATGCCTGTCTGTCTGACTGTCTGTCTGACTGTCTGTCTGTCTGTCTGTCTGATTATTAGTGGAAATTAAATGAATACATGATCCTCTCAGTTGACTCTTTGTGTGAGCTACTTTTGTAAAAGCTTGTTTTAAAACCACAGGGGCAACACGACCTTATTAGGGCCATCAGGGGCCCCCGTATATGACCCCACTGTCCCCCCCCCTCAGGATTAATACCTCCAAAACTCACCTGGAAGACGTGCGCGAGGCTGTTTGGGGTTTAAAAAAAATGATTCATGTTGAGAGCCGCAGCTGCTGGAAGTAAGATGGTGCTTGATGATCGGAATATGGAGTCATTAGAGTCATTAGCTGAGGAGCTGAATGTGAAAGGACCCGGGTCGGGGCTCCTCGGGGCTCCTCGGGGTGCCTCATTATGCACGCGCATTAAAAGAAAGCCGCGGGGGGGTAAATGGGTGGTTAAGGGCAGGAACAAAAAGAGGGGCAGGGTCTGTGAGGAGGGTCAGGATTCAAATTCTAAGTAGGGAAGATGTTCCCATTGTGAGTGGGGGGTTATATAGGAGGCCAGGAGAGCCGGGACCACAACACATCCAAAGACCAGGACCTAAAGACGGATCACCATGGCCTCCTCGCGCTGCACTTGGATTGCTCTGCTTCTTCTCGCGCTCATGACACGTGGAGTATCTGCTCGCGCCGTGGACTTTGGGTCCAAACCCGGAGAGGAGGCCTCCGGGGCGGATTTACGCACGGACGCGCTCCGGCGGTGGAGGAGCGGCGGCGGCGCGGAGACGCACCGGGAGCCGTGCGCGGAGCTGGCTGCGCCCTGGCAGGAAAACGCACAGGATACCGGGGATGATACCGGGGATACCGGGACCCTGCTGCAGCTGCATGTCCGGCCCTTCAGCCCCAGAGCCTCCCAGGGTTCGGTGTTCCCGGGAAAGTCGCTTTTCAGCTTCGTCCGGCGGGTTTACCGGTGCTGTCAGGAGGGAATCAGCTGCAGGAGCGTAAAGGGAATACAGGGTCGACTGAGAGGAGGTGAGACACAAAAACATGGACTTTACCAACTGCTTTCTTATGTACAGGTTATATTTGTTCAGTTTCTATTAAAATAAAACTCATATTTCATATTAAAGGACAGAAACTGGTGGACCTTAAATAATTAATGTAATTTACAAAACTAGGTTAGTGTCACTTAAAAATACCAGTAAAAGGATGTTTTTTAACTTTAACTTAAACAATAACTTAGACAAACATTCCTGATTATATATTTATTACTATATATACAAAACATGGACTTTACCAACTGCTTTCTTATCTACAGGTTATATTTGTTCAGTTTCTATTAAAATTAAACTATTTCATATTAAAGGACAGAAACTGTTGAACTGCAGATCTCAAACACTAACAGATTTATTTATATTTCATCCATAACTCAAAGTGTTCAGAAGCAATAGAATTAAAAGTATAAAATCAGAATTAAACTGAGTAAAATCAGTAAAAATGAATCCAGATTAAAAACTTAGTTAATTAAAAGTGTTTTTTAAAGTGCAGGGTTGGAGATTTTAGGGAAAATGAATTTGAATGCTAAAATAAAAAAATCCCTATTATTATGTGTGTTATTATAAAATAATATAATTAATATTAATATTGATTATATCTGTCATCTTTCTAATTTCCTGCCATCTTTATCACATTAGCTCCACAAAGCTCCTGAAATTCAGCCTATCGAATGCTAACTCACAAAAATGGACACAATATTAAATCCAATGTAATTATTAAAGATTATAAATACTAATAATTTAATTTTATATATATATAGTATAAACTTTGTGCAGTATTGTCAGTGTTTTTAAAGACATCTTGCTAAACAACGCGGTAATCACCAAAAAAAAGACTTATAATTCGAATGCAGGATATAACACCTCAGAAAATTATTATTATTATTATTTGGGTTTTGCCAGTTTCTTCTTTTTCTTTATTTTCTAGCCTTCATGTGCAGATCCTGAGTCAGCAACATTACCTACAGTAAAAGCAAATAAGTTACTTTAACTCAAAGAATGTTTGAAACTGATTAGAAGTAGAAGTAACTAAATTTTATATGTTGGAAAAAAAAACATCCTTGATTAAGTAGATTTTACTAGTAATGTTAAATTAAACTAACTTAACTTTGTGATTTTTATTTGTACAATGAAACAAATTAATATAAATAATAATAAATACATAATGAGGAATATTAATGTAACTACTTAAACAAGAATGTTTTTTAACTTTAACTTAAACAATAACTTAGACAAACATTCCTGATTATATATTTATTACTTACTAGTAAAAGCTACTTAAGGAGTCCACAAATCAGCTCCACTTTATGAGTTTTGAAGCTTAAATTCCAGAAGTAACAAACTAACATTTGCCACTAAACTTCCAACTTCTAAATAAATCTCATAATTAAAATCTAGAAGTTGTGTATTTAGTTTAGAATAGTTTAAAAGTGTAAACTCGGACTAGTGAGCAGATAATCTCCTTCAGCTACTTGTTAGCAACCAAAAAGCTTAAAACCTCTCAGATCGGTTATTTACTGATAGATTTTATATCGTAGAACAAAACGTTAAAATCTCTTCAGCTTGTTTTAAACACAGAACCAAAAACCCAGCGACTTCATCAGCTAAAATACTAACTCACGTCCGTGTTTTAGGCCTCATTCTTGCAGCACTTTGTTTATTTTTGTTGTTTTAAAAAGTAAAAGTGAGTATTCTGATTTAAAATTGAGTTAAGTAGCTTGTTTCTGGCCTCCAGGGGCCCCAGAAAGCTTCCCACCCTCCCCCTTTATGGGCGTCCCTGCATAATCCGTAGCAGTGAAAGCTGATTGGAGGACATTAATGGCTTCATTAACGCGGCTGTAAAGATGTTATCTGCATACAAATGAGTCTTAGTCGTCCCCTGCGAGAACCGTCGAGGCGTCCTGCTGACGGATTAACGAGGTATTAGGAGTGACAACATCATCTCTGTGGTTGAACTCTGACACTCTCCTCCTCCTCCTCCTCCTCCTCAGACACAGACGTGGAGTTTCTCCTCACCCGGGAGATTTCATCGCTGACGGTCCTGCGAGCCGAGCTCCACCTCCAGCTCTCCAACCCGCAGCATCTGGACGTCCATCCTGTCCTCTCATCCATGGCGAAGCGCGGCCTTCCTACGAGGTAAAAACAAAACTGATAAACTGCCTAAAAGCAACTGGTGGAGGCAGACGACCACCCACCTTAGAGGCCCGCAAGGGTTTACTGGGTCCGGAGGTTTCTGCCCGGGTTTAAAAGGCAGTTTTTCCTTTGCCCCTTTCTTCCAAGGTTCGTTGCCCTCGATGGTGGTACTGCTTTGGCGTCTCTGTAAATGTTAAAAGGAGTTCCGCGTCTAGACCTTCTCTATTGAAAGAGGTGCTTCCCTGGAGATAACTTTCTGTTGATGTGGGAATTTGGCCGCATACAAAATTAATAAAATGAACTGAATTAAAAGCCCCGACACCTGGTTTGGGATGGGTGGATCGCAACTCTTTTCTAACCCTTTCGTCTTTTCTTCGGCCTTCCCTCCCCCAGGTCACACGGTTTGGGGGTCGCGGGGCAACACGGGTGGAGCTGGGAAGGGGTGGATCTCGCCCCCCCCTCTTCCTCCTCCAGATGGCCTGCAGGGAGGCGCGCCGCGCCGGACGGGTCGGCGGGTCCCGGCTTGGGTGAAGCATGCCGGCGCGGGTAGCGTCGTTTTCCTCTGCCCCAGGACACCAATGCGCCCGCCCGGCACGCCTCCCGGCGCTTGGGATCTGGGGGCTTGGCTTTTTCCTTGGGAGCTGCAGGCCCGCGTTGATGTATCCAGGTGTCCCTGCTAGGGCGGCGCGCGTTCACCGTTCTCGCGCACGCCCGTTTCATTTTGGCGTTGTACTTTGACCAATAAGACTTAAATACACTTCAGTTGTAATCCTCTGAGAACTCATAAAAGAAAACTTGCCACGTTTAATGTTAGGATCTAGTTAATTTAATAAATTATATATAGTATTAATATATTGGTGTGTAAATGATGTGAATGCAATGGACTATACTTGCTAAAGTTTATGGTTATAAGCTGCAATTCTAAGTGTGGTGGTTCGTTTCTGGTTGAATGGACGAGGTCAGGCAGCGTGTTGATCTATGACCTGGGTTGGTGTGCTACCTCTCAGATATGGTCTTCCGTGCTGTGGAAGAGTTGTTCAACAGGTTGGAAAGCGAAGGCTGGAAAAAAGACAGGACACGCTGGGGACAAGCAGAAAGCAAAGCCGCCTGTTAATGCTGCTGTGACCCTTGCTGGGATTCAGGCTGAGGACTGAAGACTGGTGGGAGGCGAAGAATCTTAAGATGGTTGATTTTAGAGTAACAAAGCCAAAACTACTGTAATATGGGTTCTTAAACTTTGGGGAGTTGACTAAAAACTGACAGTAAGCTCAGAAGGGTCTCGATGTGGTGAAACATAATTAAGGAGCCATCCCTAGGGTGAAGACTGGGTAATTAAAAAATAGTGACTAATAAAAATG